GAATCGAACTCAGGTCAGCCATGTTGGCTGTGTGCAAGGCAAACGCCCTACCGCTAGCCATTGAGTGTGATGGGAGTTTTGAGTGTTTTCTATCTTTTGACCCACTGATAGTGTATTCCTTGGACCACAGCATCTGTATCAGCTCAGAACTTGTTGAAAATCCTCATTATTTCTTGATGCCTACATAATTTCTTCGCTTGTTTTGGGTCACCATAAATAGATGGAGTGCCCTTATTACATGAGACGCATCAGAACTCTTGGGTCAGTCTTAAGACCCAGAGCAGAAATGACCTGCTTTCCTCCCATGACATAATACTATGACTACATGTAGTACAGTCACAAGTATATTGATATACCATCATTGATTTCTCTCTTAGTTATTTAGAAATATTTGTGGATTGTTTCTATAGGATCTATTGGATTTTCATCGCATCATTATTTTGATTGTCCTTTACTTTTCACATTCATTTTCTTATAACTTAGCATGGGGCAATCTCAGTTCTTTACATCCTTTTCCATTTAGAGCAAATCTAAATTAATAAGAGAAGAAGAATGTGATCTATTATCACTCTGGAACTATTGCTAAAGATAGTCAGTTGGGGACATAACGGTTTATAGAAAAATGAAATGATAAAGTTCTGATTAATAGCACAGCGGTAGGGCGTTCGCCTTACAAGCGGCCAACATGGCCGACCCGAGTTCGATTCCTCCGCCCCTCTCAGAGAGCCCGGCAAGCTACCGAGAGTATTGGATATGCCAGACACAGTAACAACAAAGTCTCCAATGGAGACGTTATTGGGCCCGCTCGAGCAAATCGACGATCAACGGGAGGGCCTTTACCTTTACCTTTACCTTTACCTTTACCTTTACCTTTACCTTTACTGTTTGCCTATTGGTTAATACTGAGCTTCCAAAAGGACCGCTTTTTAGAATCCAAAATAGTGGTACAGTTAATTATAATTGTGATCTTCTTTCTGAGATAGTTTTAAATGATCATTTATATCCTAGATTCCCATTTATTATCACTTTTAAATTTCCAGACTTTATTTGTACACTTACCTCCAGTCCGTCTACTTAACTGTTCCCAGGTGGGTGAATAATCTGACCATAGCTTCAGAGCAGGGGGTTATGGTTACCTTCATGTGTGAGCTCTGGGTGAATCCCACCAGGGAAACACCGTGCAAAGCAGAATGACCTCACAGCTGGGGGCAGGTGGTAAAAAGCATGTGTGGTCCTAAAAATACTGGGCTTCAGGAAGGCTTTTTGAACTGGGAAATTCCTAAATTCTATGAATTACTGTTGATGGAATAATGAAGATACTCTCTACCCTTTTTTTAAATTCAGGCCTTACTACTTTATTATAAGATAATGGAAAATCAATATAGCAACAAATTCTAGCAGATTTTTAAAGTGTTAGACCATGAACTTGCATGGCACACTTAAATTCTTTAATGACTTTAATTCTATCATAATTCTTCACATTCCTGTTCATTGCAAGTGGGGGTAGTGGGAGGAATTCTTGACTGTTTAAGTCAGAGCCTGAAAGTTGAAATTGATAAAATTTCCCAAGCAAATATGTTGTTTCCAATTCTGGAAGTTAGGCATGTGACAATTTTTATGTCTCGGGAAGAGTTCATGTGGTTTTTAGTTGACTTGCTTAGTTAGGCTTTCACAAAAAAGAGCCATGCTGTTTTGGAAGTGTATGTTTTTTCACCTTTGTTTTTAAAATACTTAATCTGTATGTACGTATATTTGCAGATGAGTTTGTGTAACAGGAGTAAATCAGGGAACAGTGTTTCAGATAAAGAGATCACTTAATCACTTAATCACTTAATCCCCGTTATTCATCAATTTATTCAAGCGGGTGCCAGTAACGTCTCCATTCATCCCGGTTGCGTGCTAGCGTAGCCCAATGGTATCTGTTCGTTTTAGGAACATGTAGAGCCTCAAACCGATCATTTGGGGTCTTGACGAAGAAGTCTGACCATCTTATAGGTGGGCGTCCACGTGATCTTTTGATGTGGAATCCAATCAGTAATGGCTCTAGTCCAGCGGTTGTCTGTAAACCTCATTACATGTCCAGCCCATCTGATTTTTGATGTCTTGGCAAATGAGACAGCGTCTCTGATTCTTGAGCGTTGACGAAGATCAGAACTCTGGATTCTATCTCTCATTTGAGTGAATCGTGATATTCCAAGCATAGTTCTTTCGATTCCTCTTTGAGAGACCCGAATAGTGTTCTCATCCTGTTTTCGTAGGGTCCAGGTCTCTGAGGCATATGTTAATGCAGGAAGAATAGTGGAATCAAAGAGATGTGCTCGTAGTTGGAGGTTCTTTGTCCTTTTAGTTATTTCTTCAATGCTCTTGAAGGCATTCCAAGCCGCTCTCTTCCTCCTGCGTAACTCAGGTGCCAGGTCATTCATCATGTTGATTTCTCGACCTAAGTATATATAACTGTTGCATTCGGAGATGGTGGTTCCGTTGAGAGCGAATGGAGCGTCAGGAACAAGGCTGTTCAGATAAAGAGATACAGAAGATATTTTAGAAGTTTCAAGTTTCCAGTAGAATGAAAAATTATTTTAAGAAGACTGTAGCTTCTTGCCTTGCCTTGCTCGACTTCTGTCCACCTAACGCTCACCCCCTCACCCCCAATGTAACCAGTGTTGGTGTTTTTAGTGAGAAGATAAAAGCCTTCTTCAACCTATTTTAAAACACACTGTCTTGTATCTTAAGGATTTTGATTAGAAAGTCAAAAGGATCCTGTTAGACCTAGAAGTTCAGTAGGAGAAGTCTATTTCAATTGGGGAAGAGTTTTAATAATATTAAGAGTCTCTCAAACACAGATGAGCAGAAGCCCTACGCTCACTGATCTGGGCAATGCGTTGTTTCGAAAGACTTTTTTACCCCCCCTACCACCATTGTGCATGAGATATTATTTAGCAGCTTTTAAACTCTGAATTCCTGCGGGTGCCGTGGTTGAGTTTAGAAAATAGAGGAACCTGGGGGTTCCAAGGCACAGTTGAGTTGCATGGGCTATTGCTGTATGTTTCACAATGCCCTTTGAAAGGGTTTGATGAGAGTGACAAGAGGAAGGGGAACAAAGCCTGTTAAAGTCATTTGGCGACTTTGGAAATGAAGGCTGGGAAGCAAACATTTTCTGGCTGTAAATCACTTACTTGTACATTCTTTAAAGCATTTTATACAAATGACTTTAACAGTTTTAGGGTCATGCCTCGGGTTAAGAGACTGTTTCCCTGGTACACATTTTGGTGATTCAAAAGCAGCACTTTGAGGTGGTAGCATTTCTGTTCACACACTTTTCTCTGAAATTTTGATTTCTACGACTTGTTGATTTTATATCTTCTTTTTCTATATATATAAGCAAGAAACTATAAGTTTTATGAAACATTCTAAAGATTTCTGGAGGGAATTGGGGGTGGGATTCACCTGAAGACCACATCTGTTGAGCTGTCTTTCTGACCCTAATATGACTCATTTTTTGAAGCGAGTTGGTTCAAATGAAAATACTTAGTAAGAACCTGACTCTGTTGGTGGCTGTGGTAAAAATGCTGAAGCTCATATAAAAGCTGCATTTAAAAAACGCCAGCAATGGTTGGTGGGTATATTAGTTTGTCGTATGTAAAAGTAGAATGGGGTGGCACATTTATCCTTTTTTATGACACCAGAGGCTTCTGCTGTAAGTGGTGGTTGCCAGTAGGTGTGAACATTAGAGACAGCTGTGCTTTTTTAAGCGTTTTAGAGATGTAAAGAAATTTAGTGCTTGAATATATTCTTCAGAAAGTTGGGGCAAATTTTATTCATGGGGAATGCCACTTGAATACCAGAATCTTTTCTCTGCTCAGACCTGTTAATATGCACCCGGCCTCCCTGTCGCCCCACCCTCCGCCCTCACTGGTCCTTTTCTGTGCAGTAGTTCAAATACCGGATTGTCCTGTGAGGTGAAAGGTGCGTTATGCTTATGCTTAAATGCGGCCCTGGGAGAAAGGTCCTGTCTTCTTTTGCCAAGGCGAGTGTTGTATTTTTCTTAGTATTTGTTACAGCCAAGAAAATCTCACTGCCGGGAGCATAACACACATTAGGAAAAAGCAAATAAACACAAGGCGCTTGGAGCCAGGAAGTTGCATCTTAGATTAGAAACGCACATCGTTGGATGACATTTGGGAGTGGGAAGCTGAACGAGGGCCACAAGGACAAAACCAAAAATCAGCTAAGAGGATAGTTTTTTGCATTCTAGAGAAGTCATTTAATATCATAGAATTTTTGGAAAGGTGTCAATGTTGATTTGATAATATGATGGTCAGATTTATCGTAATTCAATATTTGGTAACAGTGTTGCCTTGCTATTCATTGTTTTCTTAGAAGTGTGATTAACATTCATTGGACTTAATATTTTGAAAATAACCTCTTATTAATTGAATACTTTAAAATAATCTAAATAAATCTCATGCGTATTCTTAATAATGCTCAGTTTCAAAATAGTATCTACCCCCTACCTTATAACAAGAGGTATACCAACTAAATTTGGCATGTATTGAAGGTTTCTTCTATTTCAAATTAACGGCATATTAAAAATAATAACCTAAGTGAGAATTACAAATCCAAAGTCTGTAAGAGCTTTTAAAACTTATTTCAATATTGATTTGTTTAAGCATTTGTCAATAATGCATATCTTTATTGGCACACAAATAAAACTACCATTTGTCCTATTTTCCTGGGTAACTCAAATAAGCTACCTTGGTTTTTATAGCTTGCAGCATTGAGGATCTGTAAGTATTTATAAAGAGGTTCACAGCTCTGTTTAGATTCTTCCCATTATTCAGCTAGATAATCCTTTCTTATCCCTGATTTTAGGTTTATTTTTCAGACTCAGGCCACCTATTATTGAAGGGAAAGTGGTGATTTTTCAGTTTTAACAAATTTTAAATACAGTGATTATTTTGAACCATGTGAGTCTTCAACATGCCTTTTACTCTTACTAGGACCTGCTGAAGTTCCCATGATGTCGCCGAATGGATCCATTCCTCCCATCCACGTGCCTCCAGGTTATATCTCGCAGGTAAGCCCTTGAATGGAGTCATGGACTCACTCTGGACTCAACCATCGCTCCAAGAAAATGTATGTGGGAACTTCAGACACTTACCTGAGGACTCACTTCATTAGGCCACTGTGAGGGCTGCCATTGTTTGATGGTGTTGCACGAGGTTTCTCAGTTCTTGCTGTGTCCCAGAGAGAGCAGGGCCACAAAGATGCCCTTAGCCAGGGTGGGTTGGGTGCTTCACCATTTGCTGGTGATTCCTTTGTCACTTTAGAAATTCGTTCGCTCTCTAATACAGTTTGCTGGTTAAATAATTGTAGAGTAATTGTAGAAAATACCAAGGAAAGTGTTGCTAATGTAAATTGGGCCTATATTCTGTTAACAGAGCCTCATTTCTCCATAATGTGGTACATCCTGGTGTTGGTGAATTGCCAAGGAATATGTGAGATCTTGACTGTTTGTACACAAATTTCTTTTAAATGTAATTTTGTTCCTAGTAAAGCAGCAATAGCATTAAAAAAATAGTGATTTCGGAGGTATATTGAAAGGGTTAAAAAGTAGTTAAAGGGGTTCACTGTGCAAGCCTGTGTTCTCCCTTGAACACAACTTGCTTGTTTGTTTTTCTCTTGAACACATCTTCCCTCTTTCTCTCTCATCACATCTTTCAAAGCAAGTTTCATTCCAAAAAGGTCTACCTTGATTCACTAAAACTTGAAACAAATAATAGTAATGAAAGGATAAAGTTCTGCTCCTTTACCTGACTAGTGTTTCAGATGTTCAGGATGCTGGCAGTGTAGTATTTCTATATACTTTTGTTTCCTCCCAGATTCACCCTCATCTCTATGTTTCCCTGCTTTTCTCTGCATCGTTTCTTCTCTAAATCCCTAATGAAACAGTTGTCTTTCTCTTTGCCTCTCTTACTTTTTTCCTGGTTATCCGGGCATACTTCACTTGTTGAATCAAAGTCAGAAAAGGTAGCGGTATTAAATTTTATCACTGCCCTTAAACATAATCATTGTTAACATTTTTAAGATTATATCTTTACGCATTGCTTCCTTTTTGTCTGTTCTCCTCAGGTGGTTTAAAATCTGTTACTTTCAGGGGCCAGAGTGATATTACAACTGGTAGGGCACTTGCCTTGCTGGCGGCTGACCTCAGCATTATCCCTAGTACCCCATATTGTTCCCTGAGCACTACCAGTAGGGGTCCCTGGACACAGAGCCGGGAATTAGCCCTGTGTACTGCCAGGTTTGGCCAAACCCTCCCCCAAATGCATAATTTTCAGTTTTTATTTTGAGAGGGTGAAAACAATTGGCAGCTACAAAGGAAAATTGCTGAAATGCAGCAGAAATCAAAGATCATTTTTCCTTCTTTGATGTGAAATTTAACATTTTTTCTGAATAAGACATAATGCAGTCACCACTTAAACTTCATTTTTCCCATCCCTACTTTCATGTGAACTAATTTGACGTCTTTTGTTTTTATTTTTGTTTTGTATTTTTTTTGTTAGTAGACGTTATGTTGGCCAATCTTCTCTCTTTTGCAGATAGATGTCATATTTTGCACAAATCTTTGGACTAAGAGTCACTGGCAGAGCAGAGAGTGCAGAGCCAGGACTCAGGATGATGGATCACATTCACATCATCAGCTATTTAACGGGGGGGGGGGGGGGGGGGGAGGGTTGGGGGGTGGAGAGCAACAGGGAAAGAGGAATTCCACTGTCTCCTAGTCATTTACTTTAAGGAAGCGCTTCTTTCTGTGGAACTAAGTACAGCTGTCACCAGTGTGACAGCAGGATGCTTTTTTTGCTTCAGGTACATCACAAAAAACCTGTTAGACGTTAAATGTTGTAGTAGAGATGTTGCAATGTGATTTTCCCTTGCTAGTAGTGTTGCTGTGCTTGTACAGACTGAAACCCATTTATTGGGTGTCCTAGAGACAAAGAGAGATTTTAGACCATGATTTATTTCTGTTTCCAAGCAGCTTCTATAGAAAATTCAGTTGGAAAGAGTAGTAAAAGCAGAGAAGTGTGCTCGCTTTCATGAAACTGATGATGGAAGCTTGGTGAAGAACTTTCTCCAATGGAAGCGATGGCATGATATGTTGGAAGATCTCAAAAAGTAAAAAAAGTAGAATAGTTTGACTTTTGATTGAGGAAGAGAAGCAGGTAGTAAGGCCTGTATTGAACCTTGTTTAGACTGTGCTTCCTGATCAGAAAATGAGTACAGAGTTCATGGACCTTCAGTAGGAGTACTGTGTCTTTAATGATATTTGACAGTGAAGTGTTTGAGTGAAGCAAGTCATTAATATGAGAAAAATTGAGAAATCAATAGGGTGTGTGCACAACATCTTTAAGGATACAGACTTCAAAGAAGTGAGGAGGGTGGAACCAAGCATAAAATGTCCTAGAAGCCTTGTCATCACCAAGAGATCTAAGGAACAGACAATAAGGAACAGTATTGTCGTGCATTGTGGAAAGAGAGAATCACAATATTGCATAATCTTTTTAAAAGCTCCCTTTCCAGCTGGACATCTGTAAGAAATGCCCAGTGTCTGGCCCCACTCAAGTTTATTTTGCTACTTATCCCCACAGTCTTTTTTGCCCTGTACATGTGATTGTCTTGATATGTATATAAACAATGCATAAAAATCAAATTTACTCAGTGTATGAGATCCTTAATAGTTTGTCCTCATTTTAAAGGTCAGCTATTAATACCCATTATTAATATCTGTTATTCCACTCTAAAACCCTGGGTACATCTGACCTTAACTCAACGCTATACTTTTCAGTCTGGGGCCATATCCACTGCTGTTCAGTGTTTACTGGCTGTGTGCCAAGTGATCATTTATGGAGGTCTTAGGAGAGCATCCAGGATGTTGGGAATTGAACCTGGGTTGGCCTTGTGCAAGGCAAGCACTCTGACCACTATGCTATCACTCCAGCCTCATCAGTGATATACTTTCATCCCCATTATTTCTCTCTTCTTGAATATCTTAGAGCCCTATTTCAGTTAACAGTTCAAGCATTATTCTTATTCAGATGACCTTTGAGAACCCCCAAGGGAAGAAATGGTTGATCATTTTTTCAGCATCTTTGGCAGGTAGTCCCTAGGTCTGTCTTGAACTCGAATGTGTTTTATAGCTTGTATTCAAGAATTGACCATTGCCTCTTTGATATTATCTCTCAGCCACTGGAGCACTACCTGTTGCATTGCAGATACATGATAAATATTTCAAAATGTAGGTCATTGACCAAGCTGAAAAAAATACAGGAGAGATCAATAGATTTACAGCTTGTCTAATGTAATAGAACTGAAAAACTTGCACTCTCAGAGTAGTCAGAATAAGAATTGAAAAGCTATGTTTGTGATTTGTAATTCTAAGACAATTCATTTTTATGAAAAATAGTCTCTTTGATGGGATAGAGCTATAGCACAGCGGGGAGGACGTTTGCAAGTGGCTGACCCAGGTTCGATTCCTCCGCCCCTCTCAGAGAGCCCAGCGAGCTACCCAGAGTATCCCACCTGCACGGCAGAGCATGGCAAGCTCCCCTTGACATATTCAATATGCCAAAAACAGTAACAAGAAGTCTCACAATGGAGACGTTACTGGTGCCCACTTGAGCAAATCAATGAACAACAGGAGGACAGTGCTACAGTACTACAGGCTCTTTGATTAATATTTGTAGGATTATTGGATATCCAAATATTAGAATAATGACATTGAACTGCTAATTCACACACACACACTATATATATATATATATATATATACATATATATACATATATATAATGGATTATAGGTACAAAATGGATCATAAGTACAATAAAACTAAGAAGGGAGGGGAGATAACTCAAAGGGATAGATAGTGTTTGCTAATGCTTTGCATGTGGGAAACGGGTTGATTCTCTGCACCATGTGATCTTTGGAGCACTGCCAGGGGAAACCCTGGAGCACCTTTAGGTACAGCCTTCAAGCAAAAATTAGGCCTATCATATGCCACAGTGCTGACCTTGCTACCTGTTGTGTATGGCACTCACTGTAGTCAGTATTTTATTTACATCTCTAGTTTTTATGACTGTGATTTTGCGCATGAGAATTTTGAGAACCTGAGTAGAAACAGAATTGCAGCCCAGTCGATTCTGACCTGTCTTCCACTAGGATATGATCTCAGAGTGAACATCAGTGCTTAACTTGTTAAACATTTTTACTTTTCATTACATTCCCTTGTGGCAAAGAAGGGAGGGATGAATGCTCGACCTACTCGGGTATCTGTGGTAGGAAAACACCAACCAGCTTCTCACACAGTATGGTTTGTTGTTGTAAGAAAATTGAAGAAGCAGGAAAATGAATGACTGCTACATTAGTAACTCCCCACTTGAGTCAGTGGAGAGATTCCTGATGATAGCCAAATTCATTCCATTATTTAGTGGCCGAAAGTGCCTTCAAGGTAAATTAATAACATCGATCACATAAATTGACAAAATACAAATGAAGCAATGAGCAGATCGCCTTATGGGAAAACAAACAGCTAGAGCTGAAGAGACGGCTGTGGTCTGCTTGGAGAGGGTGTCGAGCACAGGCTGTGTTCTTAGAGTGAGGACTTGACACTCTGCTCTAATCAAGTGTAGATTCAGGGTAGGAGAGCAGTGGCGTCTTATCATGACACACAGATTTTTCTGTGTTTTGTATGTGAATAATTATTGTGCTTTACTGTTTTGGTGGGAGGGTGCAGGACGTTTGTGAATGAAGTAATCTGACCCTTTCAGTGTGGCGGAAGCATTGGCATCATTTAAAATTCTGGAGCTGGTTGATTTAAAGGGAATTTAGTCTTATCATGGTCATCACCATCATTTCCCTTATGTCAAAACATTTGTGCATGTGGTCAGAGTCGCAACTATGGAAAAACAGGGAGGGTGACGCATGGGAAGCAAATAAGTGGACATTATTACTCTGGGGCCTGCCTCCAGGGCCAGCCCCTCTCCACTGCGTCCACTCACAACCTCTTTCCCATTAAGG